AGATGGGGCTCTTCCACACCTGGAAATGGCAGCTCTGCCTTTGGCACAGCACTGCATCCCACTGAGGAGCATGTGCACATCACCACAGGGACCTGACTCCTCTGCCTGGGGAGTTCTAAGCTACCCTGCAGCAGTTAGTTCAGTACTGGGAAGGCAGAGAGCCCAAAACTGTTATTAATACAGCCTGGTTTTGCAGATTCAACCGCTGCAGGAAGCTTCAACCCATTATTAGAAGTTAGGCAGCTGGTATTTTTCAGTGCTGAGTCTTACTCAGCTCGATTTGTCATCGAATCCCGAACTGGTTTGGGTTGGAAAGGACCTTAAGATCCTCCAGTTCCAAGCCCCTGCCATGGGCAGGGAGGCCTCACACTGGACCATGTCACTCAAGGCTCTGTCCAACCTGGCATCCTGCACTCAAATGCTCTCAAAACACACAAAACCACCCCACAAATAAATACCCTCCCCCTTCTTAAATAAAGGGGTTTGGGGAGAAACCAGGATTATAGATGAAAGCAGGCTCAGAGATTAAAGAAACCCCAACAGAACAGCACACCATGCAATGGGACATGATCAAAGTGGTTTGATTCGATTCACAGAGCTCACAGAAGCCAGGCTGGACAGAAAGGGATCACCTTGTCACAGGGTACCTGGACAGTCGGGTGGTCACTTGTTCTTATGGTGGATGTAGCCATGGTTTGCCATGGCTCTCCAGGTCTGCAAGTCCAAACAGTGCATTTACAAAGGCAAAAGCAGAGTCAGGACTGAGGTGATGCGTAGCCAAGCAGGTAATAGAAGCCTTTTACTTGCATTTCCTTAAGCAAAAGCAGTTCCCATGAGAACAAGACAAAAACCTTGGAGCAAGCTTCCCACTGCAGCCACAGGATTAAACACTGAAGAAGAATGAGCACGGCATTGAGACCAGCTCCTGAATGAAATCCCTCAGATGAAACTTCAGATCACCAAAGACTTGTGCATTAATCACAGAGCCAGGCTGATTCACGGGCTAGCAAAGCGAGTCCTAGAATCCACAAGGAATGACCTTTGCAGGTATTGGATTCACTACCAGGGAGAGGGGGAGAAAAGGAGGGAGGACAGAGAAGGATGGCAAGGCAGAGAGGGGCAGGGATGCTCTTGCCTTGCTGCTGGAGGAGATCCATTACTCCATGTCCCCAGTAGACACCATAGCTATGCCCAATCCAAGACCTTCTGGGAAAGCCAAACACAGGGATTTGCCAGTGTGGGCTTTTCACAAGGGCAGGTAGGGCCAGGCCTAGAGGAAATGGCTTTAAAGTTGTGGCTGCCCCATCCCTGGCGGTGCTCAAGGCCAGGTTGGACACAGGGGCTTGGAGCAAGCTGCTCCAGTGGAAGGGGTCCCTGTCCATGGCAGGGGTTGGAGCTGGATGAGCTTTGAGGTCCCTTCCAACCCAACCCAGCCTGGGATTCCATGGGGATGTTTTTCAGCCCCAGCCTGGCTCCCACACTGATTTGCAGGATTATTCAGGAGGAAAGCAGAGCAGAACAAACCACCTTTTGCCACGATTTCCAAGCTCTTAGCATAACTGTGGAGTTGTGCTCAAGCCAACTATTATTAGAGTCAGGTCCTATTTCGACAGAGCTTGTGTGAAAGGGAAAAAACCATCTAGTTTAAAAATAACAACCCCTCCAACCTGAATAAGTGGAGAGCAGGCAGAGCGAGAAAGCAGCACAGAACATGTGAAAAGCAAGCTGGCCTTGACAGCACATCAGTGCCTCGAACACCCCTGTGCTCAGCCACGCTTCACCACTTTGCTTCCCAACCAGACATCCGATGCTGGTGGACTCTCCACTCTGCATAGAGGTGAGGCATGAAGGGTTCCGTAACGGGAAGATGAATATAGCTCTTTCTTACCTACACAATTCACAGAGCTATGTAATTACTTCTGAACTCATGCATACAGAGCCATACACCACGCTTTCTTTCCCTATTATAATTTCTCCAGGAGACATGGTCAAGATTTGCCATGAAATTACCTGTAAAAAACACGTGAAGCCTGAAGCCCATGGGTTCAGAAAGCCTCAGTGGGGAGAATGACCCTGCACAAGGAAGAAATCTACAGGGAATGCAGAAATTAATCTGTCTTGTCCTTCCATCCGTGCTTCCCTGCGCTTGAGGAGGCTCCAAGTGGTTTCCAATGCTGTGGTTACACCAGTAGTGCCTCCCAGTGGAGATGCAGGATGTGCTGATGGAGATGCTTCCCAAATGGCACAGCTCTGCCACAACCTAAGCTAGCAAAGGGACTCTTCTGCCTGTGCCTACACCACAACTGGGTCCTTAGGGGGGTATTTTTGGCTGTACCAGCTCTGGTGTGACCTTTTCCATATCCACAGCTGTGCCAGGAAAGGCATGAGTGCAAACCTAGCCTGGGGTTGGAGCCCGAGGTCACATTCACTGATGTTCACCACTTGGTCCTGTACAAAGAAGCCCACAATCACCTTGTTCAGTTTGCACTTGTGTAAGGCAATGCTCATGTGCAATGACTGCGTTGCACACCTGAGCACTTCCTGAAATGAGGAAACTCCTCTTCCTCACTGCAGATGCCCTTTTGGTTTAGTCCAGACTCTCTCCTGGTCTTCCCCAAACTATGGATCTCCTGCCCTGCCAAGCTTCCTCTGCCTCTGCCCCTGGACCCATCAGTAATCCCCAAATCCAGGCAACTCCACGCTTTCCCACCCAGGCTTCTTGAAGAAAACATGAACCAACTTACTCTCCAACACCCAATAACCATCCAGACGTGTTTCCATAGCACCTAGGAAGTGCTCCAAAAATACCTCATCTGTTCACACTGCCAATGCTGCATTGGCTACAAACATCACCAACAACTGAGTCTGGGGGTAAGAACCACAACCGTGGTGCTTAAAAACCCTGCCAAAATGAAGGCTTGGTTCCCCCTCCTGCTGTCAGTGCAGAAAACATCTGCACTGGTAAAGGATTAAAGGATTAAGAAGGAGACAAAAAATACACTGACTTCCTAATGCTGTGTATCCTTAGGAACTGCCTTGAAATACTTCACATTCTTGCTCGTCCCCCACTGATACCAAGATTTATTGGCTTTATTTAGGTGGTCAGGAAGAGTATTTCAGATATGCTGCTGAAAGCTGAATCCAAAAGCAAGTTGTACAGAAAAAGATGTTCTTATAGTCAGAGGTTGCTCCAAGCCCCTGTGTCCAACCTGGCCTTGAACACTGCAAGGGATGGGGCAGCAACAGCTTCTCTGTAGGACCCAGGGCAGCACGTACACTGCTGCAGTTGGGATGCTCATCATACCTACCCATGCTTCCGTGCCTAGTGAACACAGTATCTGTCATTTAGAGTTTCCATCACTTATGTGTTCCCAGCACACAGGCTCGAGGGAGCTGTTCTCTCAAACTCATACTTCTCCAGCAGAATCACAGATTTGATGGTGTGACTTTCAGAGAGGACCAGATGCATCCTGTATATAGCAGCATTTCCACAGATCAGCCCACGGTGCTTGTCCCTTTCTAGCTCAGCCAAAAAATGGGAAGGAGGAAAAAAAAGCCAGGAGAAGAATCACTTTAAAGAAAGGAGGGAGAGCAAAGAGAAAGGAAGACTGCAAGGAAATGAAGAACCAAGAGGAAAACGCTGCTGCTGTTCTGACTGGTACAATTCTGTGCACGAATCTGAGGACCTAAGACTAAAACCACTGCAATGGAACATGCTAGAGTTGTGTTCAGTCACTGCAATAAACCCCTTTCTCCTACAACCAGGTAATCACTGGAGCAATTCAGGTTAAATAAGCACTTTCTCAGCATTTCTTGCACTGAAAGCAAGAAGCAATGCAATGTAATTATGGAAGATGAAGTCTGGCATTCCTGATGTATCCCAGATGCAATGAAACGTAAGCCCAGCATCGTGGACAGCAGGACCTGAGGGAGAGCTGGCTGCCTGCCTTTCTTTGCATCACATCAGTACCAGCCACTAAACAATCCATTTTACCCATGGAACAGACTGGGGTGATCTCCGTGACAGGTAGCTACCCTGCAAATGCATTGCCACCGCAGGATGAAAGGACTGGATGAAGCAGAGGGACACGAGAGGACAATGCATTGCCTGAACACTATGCAAGAAACACTTTGCTTTACTGTAAAGCCCTGATCCAGACTTCTGGAAAACAAAAATCTCCCAGTTTGCTGCTCAGACTCTCTTAAAATGCCACTTACATCTTTTTCCAAAGCCCTTTGATCCAGCAAAACTGAAGGCCAGATCTGATTTAACCAAACGACCCCAACTGAAATGTATGTTGTCAAATAGCCCTCAACAACTGAGGATCAAACTGGTTAAGCACATGGCATGTACTTAAAGACATACCCGAGACATATCTCATTGCTCAGTTCCACTGGAGCACTTTGCTTTTACCTCATGCTGCTTCTGGAAAGCCCTAACGACGTCGTCATGACAAAGACAACACAACACAGTTGTTTTCTGCTATTAAGGTTGTTACATTGCCATCAAACTATAGGGGTTAACCACATTTCTCTGTATTCAAGCAAGCTCTTTCCTACAGAACATGGTCAAATGGGGTTTGGCATGCTTTTTGCAGATATCTGAGACACAAACTGAAAGCCTGGGAAGAGAACACTCTGTATTCAGAAATCCAGCAGTTGCAGGGGGGAAGAAGGTAATTTAGGATGCACAGACCAAGAGTCACACAGTCCTGATGCTGCAGAGCACTCGCAATACAAGCTCACTTACATTAAACATGCTCTTTAAGGTTTGGCTTCATTGACTTGAACGAAATCCCTTGTGCAAAACCTGCCTGTGAGAAGGTGGAGTCTGAGAATCAGCCTTTGGCTCTTCCAGCCAACAGATAGGCATAGAAATAAAATGAATAATAAACTATTTCAACTACATCTAGCTTCTGTAACCAAACCTAGGGTGTTAGTAAATGGTTATTGCTATCACACACAGCGTTAGACTTGGTTAGGACACCAATGGGCTCTACCTGAGCTCGGCTGGGAGTGGTTCAGAGCCTCTGTAACATACGCAGAGCCTGGCTTTACACTATCCATCTCCAAATCTGCACGTAAGTAAGGTCAGGTGGGAAGAGGGACAAGGGACAGACAGAAGGCAAGAGAAAAGGACAAAGTTAAAGTATCTCCTGGAACAAACAGCAGGAGCATAACAATGCAGTTTGCAGAGACAGCAGTTAGAGACAGTGCTAGAGGAATCACAGAACCCCAGCCTGTTTGGGTTGGAAGGGACCTTAAAGCTCATCCAGTTCCATGGACAGGGACCCCTTCCACTAGAGCAGCTTGCTCCAAGCCCCTGTGTCCAACCTGGCCTTGAGCACTGCCAGGGATGGGGCAGCCACAGCTTCTCTGGGCACCCTGTGCCAGCGCCTCAGCACCCTCACAGGGAAGAGCTTCTGCCTAAGAGCTCAGCTCCATCTCCCCTCTGGCAGGTTCAAGCCATTCCCCTTGGCCTGTCCCTACAGGCCCTTGTCCAAAGCCCCTCTCCAGCTTTCTCCCTGAAAGCAACTTCCCCCTAACAGGTGAACTCTAAGCAGGACCTTGGACCTTCCACACTAAACAAACACACAAAGTACCTCCCTAAATCACTGCTGCAACCATGCCCTTTGGTGGACTGAAACGTTATGAACAGGAACCAAGAGCTCAGACCACAGAGAAGCACTGGGGCACGGCCAGGATGCGGCACACCATCCCTGCAGCAGGGCTCTGGGCACAGCCCTAACTCAAGCTTCTGGTCCCTGGTGCAATTCCACGACTCACAAAGGGACACGGCTGCCCAAACAAATTAATCTGACATGAAGAGCAAGCACAAGCACTAACAAGCCTTATAGCTTTGAGCAGAAATGCTGTAGCTGCTCTGGGGTTGAAGTCTCCCTTCTCGACAATGGCTTAAGGAGGAGGGTGACTGAATGCTAAGTTGTCAAGCTGCTATAAATAACCAGGAATGGGGCTGTTCTTTGTTTTCATGTTAAAAAGGGCAAAAAGCTCAACCCCGCCTTTATTAACTGCTACTGGTCCTTAACAGGAATTGCATCACTGATGGGTTCAAGGAGCATGACTACAAAGGAGGGCAAAACCCAAGAAATATCTGTCCTCTCTTCCTGTATCACAGAATCCCAGACTGGTTTGGGTTGGAAGGGACCTTAAAGCTCATCCAGTTCCATGGGCAGGGACCCCTTCCACTGGAGCAGCTTGCTCCAAGCCCCTGTGTCCAACCTGGCCTTGAACACTGCCAGGGATGGGGCAGCCACAGCTTCTCTGGGCACCCTGTGCCAGCGCCTCAGCGCCCTCACAGGGAAGAGCTTCTGCCTAAGAGCTCAGCTCAGTCTCCCCTTGGGCAGGTTCAAGCCATTCCCCTTGGCCTGTCCCTAGAGGCCCTTGTCCCAAGCCCCTCTCCAGGTTTCTCGTTGGCCCCTGTAGGAAGCTATATCTGAAATACAAACCCTATTTCCCCCTTCCTCTCTGAAGTCTTTACCTTTCAGCCTGAAAAGCATTTGATAATGCTGGCACATGCTGAGGAAGGTGCTCCAAAACAAGCTGTTTGATGCCAAGTAACATTCTTCTCCAGGAGGAAGCATCAGGAATAGGAACCATGTTCCTGTTTCCCATGTTAGAAGGCTACCAGCACACCGTCTCTATGCCAACAGGCTGGACGTGCACATGTGCATGGGGAAAGCACATATATATACATATGTGTGTGTGTATATATATATGCATGTTATATATTTTGGGGTTTATATCTATCTCTCTCTACAGTATTTGCATATCCAGTTTTAAGGCTGATGTATGAAATGCAAACAACATCCCAGAGGGAATCCGTAAGTGTAAATGAGGCCTAAAGGTTAAAGGTACATCTATGGAAACAGTCACTGCTTTTACTCACAGCAGATCATTGCTAGGAGGTTAGATGAGCACTAGCAGGACCTAAACAAGACCAGGGCAACATGAAGCAGGATGCTCTGCATAAATAAGCCATGTAACAGCTTCACTTTGGGCACTGGGAGATGCTAAGCTCAAGTAGCATCTTCTGAGCTTAAGAAAAACTAAAGGGGAATCTTTGCTTCTAAGATTTTCAAGTTCTAACAGACTTTAGAATCATAGACTGGTTTGGGTTGGAAAGGACCTTCAGATCATCCAGTTCCAACCCCCTGCTGTGGGCAGGGACACCTCACACTAGACCGTGTCACCCATGGCTCTGTCCATCCTGGCCTTGAACACTGCCAGGGATGGAGCATTTATCACTCCTTTGGGCAACCCATTCCACTGCCTCACCACCCTCGCAGGTCGTTTACAACAGTGAATTCCTCTCCATCACCCCATGTTATCCCCTCTTTCTTTCAAACTGACATTTGGTTGCCTGGCACTTAATTTCTTTCACTTCTGGTCTTCTTCATCTCCTCCAGAAAGGAGTTAAAATATCTTTGTTTCCCTGCTCTACGTGCAAAGAGCTTTCAAAAAGGTATACAAGACTAAAGGTTGGGTTTGGTTTCCCTAAATATCCTTCAGAGCACCTGGACCTGCAAGTGCAGAGGAGAACAGTAATCTGTAAGAGATACAAAAGAGAGAGAAAGGGAGAGAAAGAGCGAAAAGAAGGAAAAAGGAATCAATGAGAACGTACAAGGGGGGAAGTAGCTCCAGGACGCTGGACGGGCTCCGTGGGCAGGGGAGACTGGGAAGGAGTAAGCGAAAAAAGAGAGAAAGAAACAAAACAGTTGGTTAAAACACGCACCCTTTGAAATGGGCTCACTTTACACAAAGCTCAGCCCCTATCCTCCACGTTGGTTGGTGCTTTATCCCCTAAACCCTTTGGGAATTCCATAGGATCCAACAACTCCCCAGCCAGGGTGTCCCAGCTCAGAAAACACCCCCAAACGTGTTGCATGTCTGAACCTTTAGCACAAGGCCCATCCCTGCTGAGCAAGGGAGGGGAGCATGGGATTCCTCTGTGTTACTTCCACCCCCTGTTGAGCATGTATTTATGGTTAAGCCCATGTTTAAGTACCTTGTGGGGTCAGGAACAGGGCTGGAAGACGTGACACTTCTTTGTCCAAATGGACGATGCCAAGCACTTCCACAAGAAAAGAACACCCAGATTTGTAAATGTGTATTTTGTGTGGTTTGGTGCCTTACACATTCACCTTCCCTCTATTTTACTATCTTTATTATCTCTAATATGCTTTATCTTGCTGTGCATTCCATGCAAAAAGAGAATAAGGGCACAGATCTGTGTTTTCCTCTTGACTAAAGGTGTTCTTCCTCACAATCATTACCTGCAGAGGAGGCAGAGACTTAGCTCTGCCTCAGCCCCAGGGATGAGCTTTGGTTTTAATGGAAGAGAGAACACACAAAGCCCAGGAGATAACTTGAAGGACCGGTCCTGAACTCTGTCAACACTGAAAGCACATGTCCTGTCTTCTGCAGCAAGAGCTGTATTTAGGGGCCTTGAGCATGTTTATTCCCTGTCTCCTCTCACACTGGAAATGGAGACCTGACTTGGCCCAGCAACAGCTTCACTTCATTTAGCTTCAATGAGACAGTTGCATGTTGAACACCAAACGACTAGTTCACTGCCATAAGCTTAAGGAGAATGGTACTAATTACATATATCTCTCTTTATAAAGCCACTGATTAAAACATTATGCACTCACCAGTGTCAATGACTGTTCAACCCAGGCCACTGGAGAACCTACCTTCTATCTGTACCTTATTCTTCATGCTTTTTATTCTTATGTCAAAGAAAACCTACAACCTTTTATGCCCAGGGATTAGCAAGTGGCCTGTTTCAACCCAGGCATGACCTTGTAAGGGTCTGTCATGGTTGCAATAGCTCTAACACAGTGAATGTAGCTCAGTTTGCCTTCTTTGCAGCTCAAATTCACTCCTTCAGCACTGTACCAGAGCCTTCAGTCTGCTGCCTGGTCCAGACCTAGATTTCAATCCTCCTGAAGGTCAATGGATTAGCTGTATTTGGTGTGTTGACCTGGATTAAGCTCACAATACTAACGAGTACCCTTTAATGTGTCCTTAGTTGCGTATCGTAAGAGCACATTTACCTGTTGAATCCAAATGTAATGAATGAATGAGACAGGAATTTGGCTGGGGTTATTCATTCTTTTGCCCTAAGCAAGACTGAGAAGCTACGGATATCCAGGATTATGAGGAAGAACGGACTGAGACGTAGGTGAGACATGCTGCCTGGGACTGCGAGCTATGCCAAGATGATGAGTGGGGACAAGATGAGCACACACACGGACACATCATTCCCAGAAAAGACCAACCAGAGACGGACAGAAGGCAATGAGCAGAGTGAATACAGCCACATGCTACAGACAGTGCCCTGAGGTTCACTGAGAAGGAAAAAACAGGAGCTTGTTCTATTACTAATACTGAAGAGATCCACTTCTCACCGAGTATGTGAAATTCAAACGCAACCTTTATCCTGGATCTCTTCAAACCCCATTAGAAACATGAGCTGCTTCCATCTATTCTAGTACTGCAATTCGCAGTAAATGGGATTAGCTCTGAACTATCAGCTACCAATTCAATATCATAATTTAGGCTAAGAAGTTATCATTAGAGTCCACAGGCAAAGAAAATACTGCTTCTAAGAGCAGAGTTGGCACTCCAACCCAGCCTTCCCCTCCCATTCCCTGTGTTTCATTTCCATTTGAACTTCAGTCATTATTTGTCCTGTTACAGACCACTGCAGTAGTTTATGGTTCTATTAAAATGCTGTCCCCATCGCTTCTGCAAATCAAACCCTCTCATTATAAATCATAATAAAAACACAGGGCAGGAAGTTCTTTGCTTTCCATCTGCTTTTCATTAGATTCCTCAACCCAGCCAAGCCTATGGACAACGAAACAGCACCAAGAGTTCTATGTTTGTAAATTCCTTCATGGCACAGAGCTTTCCGCTGCAGATACAAGATGTCCTGCACATCTGGATGGAAGCAAATACAGCTTGCATGTCGTAAGTACCTCTTATCAAGCCCAAATCACATTAATTCTAGATGAAATACTCTGCTAATGACGAGTAAGGACAAAAACTCCAAGTGGTTCCTTTTAGAGAAGTCTCTTATTCCTTGGGAAAAGCCAATCTGCTGTTTCAAATAGAGAAAAAACATGGATGTGGACATTTAGGTGTGTGAGAACTACCCTATATGTTTAAGCCATAGACTAGAATATACTAAATGCATGGAATATGGGTGAGGAAAATGCAAGCTTTTCCATGCTATCCCAGCAATGCAATTCCTAGCGAGCTCTGGAAAGATCCCACTTCCCAGCAGTGCTACTTAAGCTGCTCCGGATGCTCCAGCAGTTCATTTCTGACCCATGCCAAACTCTGTAGCACCCAAGGAAGACTCTCCTAAGACTTGTGCCTCCACCATAGAAGCACTGCTGCTTCCCAAGGTGAAATAATGCTACAAAGGAATGGTATCATCAGCTCTGTGTGCAAAGGAAGAGCAGAGCAGGCCTGCAGAACCAGTGTCGACGTTCCTTCTAGCAATCCTTACATCTGAAAGCTCATTTGTGTTCCTCTAGAGTGGACTTTTGCCTTTAACTGTATGCCCACAGCAACTACCAGGGAAGGCCAGCAGGGACAGCCTCGTGACTTGGTGATATCTTTCAACTGATTACTTTTGGTATCAACTCATAACAGCCATTTCCCAGGGCTGAAAGAGGAAATCCACCACCACGTGTGTTGCTGAAGCCAAACAGGATCTATTAATCCGTGCTGCTTCATTATCTCTCATTAAAGCAGAGCAAGAAACTACTCGCTAGCAGCTCACAACACTTCACTGCCTGAGTTGTGTTTAATAGCAAACACTTTGCTCATGATTGTATTGATCAGCCTGGCCTGTGTTTAGATTTAAAGCTGCCCGTGTCCCTGTGCTTTAGCAGAGCGAGCACAGAGAAGTGGCTGATCGCAGTACTGAGAGATCAACTTCAAACAACAAAAGGCAGATAACTGGATTTATGGAACGACCACCTGCTGCAACCCTTTGGATTGCTTTGAATTCTCCATGACACTGATCCCAACAAACCCATTTGCATGTTCCCAGCAATAACAAAGCCTTGCAATACCAAACGCAGAGGACACGATTTCCCTAAGCTGTCAGCTCTTTGAAGCACGTAGATTCATGCAGTGCACTGATGGTTTTTTACCACTGAACCACAAGTTCCAAGCTGTAACACAAGATCTGATAAAACACGTTTCCCTTAGTAAAAGCCAAACTTCTGAATCACATCTATTTGTTTCCAAATATCAAGTCAGCAATCCAAGATAAGGAACATCATTCAAATAGATGCAAAGAACCCCAGTTAACCAGCTTCCAGCCCAACTTGCCAGCTGCATAACATTTGAAGTTACAAACTGCTTCTCTTGATACAAAAGATATATAGATCTATCTTCATCTATATGAAGATATAGATTTTCTTATTCTTAGAACAAAAGCTTCACCACCAGCACACTCTGCAGAGATGGCAATTACGCCAGCACATTTACCTGCAATTACTTCCAGTGTATACTGGGGTGACAACAGAATAGATCAAAGGTCTCATTTTCTATTTCTTTTCCCTTTCCTCAGCAATGCTGGGTAGCAATTTGCCTGTTACAGAAGGCAATAGGAAGTAGATGGAGTCATATACCTGGAGCAGAAGCAAATCAGGACTCCAAGTTCTGTTAAATCCGACCCTCTCCATCAATCCTCAAACAGAAGGAAGCTTTCAGCACCTGATTAATCTATTCCATCTAAGTCAGCAGAAGCTTTTTTGGGTCACCTGTCTGCTGTATGAAAATAACCTATCAGGCAACACCTTCTGGACACCAGGAAGCAGGATGCCGCATGGAATCACTACTTACAGATTGCTGAGTGTAGTGAAGTTTCTTACAAGCTTAAATCTTTCAAACTACGCAGGAGATGGATGTTGACAGGAGCTTACAAAACACTGCAGACGCAAGACATTCACCAGTGGGAGCTACTCAGAGAGAGGGAACGTGGGGATGATTGGCACATAGAAAGGATAACATGGTACGCACAAAGAATGATCGACACACAGAGCATAACACGGTGTGTAGGTATAAAGGCAACATGGAACACTGAAAAGATCAGTTCACTCCTCATAAACCTGAACACACATACCTGGTTTTGGCACAGAGTTGGTCACAGACTGAGGAACTTTGTCGTTAATGAGCTCAACGCACTCGCTAGGGAAAAATCCAACCTGTGGGGGAAACACAAAGAGAGGCACAACACTCAGTGGGGCGGGTTTCACATCTGACCTGTAAAACCAGCACCCATGAAACATTCTCCTTCATCTCTGATGCTCCAAAACATGCCCCACCATAAAATGACCAGCCTGAGAGAAGTGATGCAGCTAAAATCCTACAAACCAGAGTTAGTGCTCTAAACCACTGTTGTGAGTCTGTTTTCTAGGCCTGGATCATATCCCATTGCAACAGAGAGGGGAGAGGATAAGTGTGCTACACATCCTAAAGCTCAAGTAGAGCTCAAGAGAGACAGAAAGACTCCTGCTGCGTTTCTTGCACTGCATGTATGTCCCATGAAATTTAAGGAGGAGCTCTTAGCAGCTCCATCGTGTGTGCTCAAATCACACCAACACCTCGCTGCTTTCACTGCTAAAATACCATATTCACAAGCACTTGAGCATTTCATTCCTTCAGACAACTGAAATCCAGTATGGTTCAATGTATTTGCCTCTCTGTGTAGGCCCACTACAGAACAAAGGCATATTCTCATGTGCCAACTTAGGAGACGACACACTGAATGCACAAAGCTCTCTACCATGTCCTTGCCTTACTCATGTGCTTGGTTTGATGAGCTAATGGGGCGATTCGTGATACTACTGCAGCATCCCAAATAAGTGTGTTTCATAGAATCAGAGATCAATTTGGGTTAGAAAGGACCTTAAGATCATCCAGTTCCAACCCTCTGCCATGGGAAGGGATGCCTCACATCAGCCCATGTCGCCCAAGGCCCTGTTTGACCTAGCCTTGAACACTTGTGTGAATACATTTACCACTTGCATTTCAGAGATGTGGTTTTAGTTCTGTTGAATTCAATTCAGTCTTAGAACTGAGAAGAGATGTAATAAAATACACAGTGAGTTCTACTTTGTAAGTAAGAACCCAGAGATCTGACTAAACAAGAGCCAGAATTCCTGGTGAGCATCTGAACATGGACAAGCCAGTGCAAGCCTTGTGCCTCAGTTTCCCTGTCACCAAAGGACAGGGGAGAAGTGCCACATATCCATTACTGAACACTGACCTGAGGAACAGCTGATGAACATACCACACGAGCTTCTTAACCATACCCACTCCTTTCAGATGTTCATTTGCAGTGTTCCTGCATCGTGGCAGCTTCCCCTGCATCCCTAACTCAGAAATGCCAGGGAGACTGTCAAAACCAGTGTAAAGATTGGAGTGTGGTGAGGATCTTACTGCTCTGATGAAATAGGATGTGTCAGCAGGAATTCACATGCCACTCAACAGTCTCCATATGTGGGGGAAATGATTTCATAGAATCCCAGAATCCCAGACTGGTTTGTGTTGGAAGGGACCTTAGAGCTCATCCAGCTCCAAGGGCAGGGACCCCTTCCACTGGAGCAGCTTGCTCCAAGCCCCTGTGTCCAACCTGGCCTTGAGCACTGCCAGGGATGGGGCAGCCACAGCTTCTCTGGGCAAAATATACTTAAGCAGTTCCTACTCTATGTTTTTTCCTACCTTACTTGGGCATCTCATGCACAAGAGATGAAGGAGGCAATATTTATGCTAGGAAAAATATACATATCCAGTGGGAGTCTGAGCCCGTCACACAAACGATACATTTGGGAGACTGTGAAAAACGGTGCATCTAAATCCAGCCCCAAATCCCATCCTGTAATCAAAAAGCTCATTTGCCTTTGATTGGCAACCTAATGTTTTCCCTGTTAGCAGTATAAAATGCTAAACATGAATTCAGGAAGGAAAGAAGACCCTTTTATGTCATTACTTCTAGGTATCTCAGAACCATGCCCCAATAAAACACTGTACTGTTCTCGTGGTGTCACTTCTGCCATGTTCCCAACTACTGGATTTTTTAGGGAAGGAGGAGTTTCCCTCATGCTGCTGCTCACAAGCAATCCAATGGTAACTCCCTGGTAACAGTTCTCCTTACTTACATCTTTTGACTTACTTATTCCAGCTCTTCTTTCAAGATCATTTTCAGTCAATGAAATGATTGAAACGATGACATGAAATGATCCCATCTTCAGGGTCACAACCTGTTACTTGTGCCTCATTCCCACCCATTTAAAAGATGCTGCCTTTCCTCCCCTGCACAGTTTTCCCTGGTTTTGTATGAATAAAGGAGTTTAGGCCAGGAGTTATTCCCAACAGATGGAGTAAAGGCACTGGATTAAAGGGTTTTGCAACATCCAAAAATGAACAGCAATGTATTTAGATCAATACAAAGTCATCTAAAGGTTAAAAAACCACCACACACCTTAACCAAAGGAGGAAAGCACAACCTACTGCTTCACTGCTGGCCAACCCAGGGCAGAACATGTCCCTTCTTGGGAAATCCATTCAGTCTTAAAGCCTGTGTTCAGGTTCAGCATGGACCACGGGGGTGAAAGCAAGGGCCACAACCAGTTCAAGCCCATGTGTTACCAAAAAGCCCAATCCACTTTCTGGTTACCACAGTGCTTTGTGTCACCTCCAGCAGCAGCGCAACTAAAAGACAGACTCATCCAGCACATCCAAAGGCACTTGTGCATCAAAAAAGGGCCTCTCCCTCGTGATTCAGCTGCCTGAAACTGTGATTGAAAAGACAAAGCATGAAGGAAAAGGAGAACAAAGAGGGCTGGAAGGCTCTTAGTGTGGAGGTGGCTGCAATTTAGGTAACAATCTGACAAGGAAAGCAGTGACTCACTAAGGGCATTTGAAAAGAGAAAGGCTTGAGGAGAAATGTCTTCAAAATCGCTTTACTTTAAGCAGAGTAAATGATAAGAAGCCCAGCGAGCTGTCCTGTTCCGCATTGGCTTTAGTGTCTTGCAAGGCAGTCATTAGATCAGGTACTGGGAGAAAAGGACCTGCAGCTCTAACAGGGAATTGGAGGATAACAGGAATGGTGATTCATCCCTGCAGGGTAGCTCTGCCTGGCACAGAATAAATTGACTTCCATGCCGAATCAAAGCTCCAGCTCACATTGAACACACTTGTAACCTATTGGATCTGCTTTTCTGACAGTAGAGCTGCCTCTTGTTCATCTGCCCACCACAGAGAAAGCCTTTATTCACTCCAGTAGCTGGGGGTGCGTGCAGAAATGAACACACTTCTGCCCAAGTCACAGCTGCTTTAAATGCACACAACCAAATAAGTTCTCTTCAGCCCTAAAGTCCTGGTTTTCCCCATGGAGCAAAGCCTTGCTCACCTCGATCAAGGTATGATTTACAGTGTAAGCTGTGGCTATTGCATAAAACCTTGCTCCTCTCTGAGCCCAGAGCAGAAACATGAGAACTAACACGAATAAACAGGCCATGCATTTGGTCTTTGGGCCTCATCCTTTTCTCTGCCCTCAGAATCACAACTCTCCGGGGCAAGCCAGTGCTGGTTGATTTATGTTATCCATTCAAATGACTGGATCAACTGATTGCTATCACCTTGCCACCTTCTGTTCCTACACGGGAACAGAACTGTTTGCCTAGAACAAATGCTTCCAAGGCTGCACAGCTCCATCAGAACCTGTGACTGTAACAACATTCTTCACCTATACACTCATCAAGACCAGTTTGGTACTGAACAGTAACACATCTCTAACTAAGGCTGGTGTACCAGCACCAGAGATAACCTCCTGTCTCCATTCTCTTCTCCCTGTAGCAGTTAGCATGGCCAAAAATCCCTGTTATATCAGGAAAACATACTTTTCCTGCATACTCACAGCTTATGGGCCTCAAACTAACACTAAAACCCCCTCTCCCTCTTTGTGCCACGCTGGAATTGGCATCTCTTGGTAGCCGATTTCATGGAAATGAAAAGCTCTGCCATGCCCTGTTTGAAGAAATGACAAAACCTATCAGCTCCTAGGAGAAATGCACCTCTCTGCACATCAGACCCACGGCGTGTGAAGAACTCTGTTGATGTAGTAATAACTGAGTTTGCATAGCTGATGAAATCACTGCCTGTCAGCCCAGATACAGCTGCTGGAAACCACCTCTGCTCCAAGCAGCTTTGCTTGGCAGTCAGGGGGAGCAGAAAGCACCCAGATGGTTTGTTACCTGCCTCAGCTGACAGGCAGGAACATCCCAAAGCACACAACACAAGCACATCCTGAGAGCTACTGAAACATGCACTACAGCTGCTGTGCTCCCAGTGGTGTGGTTCAGTGGCCACGATCGGTCTCACGTTGTGAAAGACTTGCTTATAATGTAAGACATGAGATTATTCCACCCCTAGTTTTCTCTGAAGCCAGAATATGGTGTTCTGCCTCTGCAGCTGCTTGGATCTGTTGTGTCAGTACGCTGACTGTGCATGGATCCAGACAAACCCCTCTTCAAAAGGTTTGCTGATCAACATGTCTTTATGCTGGGAAAGCACTCTAGGATTGCTCTGATGTGAGAGGCAGAATGCAGTGAGGTTGCACAAGAGCTCCCTTGCTTCTTGTGTCTTTAATCACCAGCAGCTCTCGTTGTATCGAGTCGTGATTTCAGCCAGCCTGATGGCAAGCAGGCAGCTTGCACTGAAGAATGGAGGCCATGGAGATGCTGCGAGGGCTGCAGCAGCTCTGCTCTGGAGCCAGGCTGAGAGAGCTGGGCTGGGGCAGCCTGGAGAAGAGAAGGCTCCTGAAGGGGAGACCTTAGAGCAGCTCCAGTGCCTAAAGGGGCTGCAGGAAACCTGGAGAGGGGCTTGGGACAAGGGCCTGTAGGGACAGGCCAAGGGGAATGGCTTGAACCTGCCCGAGGGGAGACTGAGCTGAGCTCTTAGGCAGAAGCTCTTCCCTGTGAGGGTGCTGAGGCGCTGGCACAGGGTGCCCAGAGAAGCTGTGGCTGCCCCATCCCTGGTAGTGCTCAAGGCCAGGTTGGACACAGGGGCTTGGAGCAAGCTGATCCAGTGGAAGGTTTTGTTTTATAAATAGACTTCTCTCTTTTAATGTCCTGATGAGAAAACCCAGGCTGGGAATAAAACTCTTTGGGCAGAGCAGTGCCACTTGGACTACACCATAAATGCAGACCTGAAAGCACAGGGTAGTTGGATGGCTTGTCCAGGTCAGTGGCTGTCTCTGAACCCTCGATGTTCTGCCTGATCTAGTTTTAGAGAGTGGAAGGATTGAGATGATTTGAATAACACTGATTATAGAGATGATAACAGTGATAACAGGGATGATCTGAATAACAGTGTCAGCTGCAGTGGAGGGGGTGCAATATCAGCTTCCACTACCATCAGCTGTCCAAAGGCTCATGGCTGTCCCTTACTCAAACAGGCAGGAAGTGCAGAGAGAAAGCAGTCCTCTTACATCGACACAGGGGCACTGCTCACATCGTGTGCAGGTACAGCAGCCCCATAAACACACTGCTCAGTTTCCTGCCTTTCATCAAGTTCCACTATCGTGTGTGGTGCTTGTGTCTACCTGAAATCCGTGCTTGCCTCTCCACCACGTGGTCAGCTCCTTTGGTGGCATATCAATAACAGACACGATGTCTCCCACCTGCAAAGCAATGGCAACATCAATCACAGCCTGCAGTTCACAGCCTCAGTTCAAAATAACTGCATTTTCCAACACTGCCAAAAACCTGTTCACCTCGTGAGCAACTGCAGAAACACCAATCTTGAGGCATCTGCCTCTGTGAAATCCAAACGTGAGGCAGAAAAGTTACTGCACCTGAATGTGAGCAAAGCCCTGGCAGCACCAGACCAGCACTATTATCTTTCCTTCCTGTGCTGCATGCCAATGATGTGATCACAAACACCCCTCTGGGCACTGTTTCCCTTGACACCTTTGTACACCACCACGAATGCACCATTGATAGTACCACTGCACATGAACAATCAGAGCATAAAATGCTCCTCTCTGGGTAGAACAGACAAGAGGTGGACACCCAAAGCCTTCCAGGGTCTGATCTTCCAGGTCTTTGCTCCAACAGCAGCTCCTACTCTGCATCAAGCAAGAATTCAGAGCAGCTTTAGAGGATCCCATTATTCAAGTATCAAATCCTTTGACAGTCTGGTTCTTTACTTCCCATGGGAGCAGCAGCTTTTACAAATGGGGTTAGCCATGGCCTTGCCAACAGGAGCACAGGTTGTGTAAAGTGCCCAGTGAGGAATGACCTTGGCATGTGTCCTCACACATGTATGTGGACAGAGACAACATGCCTTTAATACCCTGTGCAGTATGAGCTGCTGGAGCGCTTGGCAGCATCCGTGTAATCAGGAGATACTAATGCCAAGTAAAGCTGTATTTTACAGATGACTGAACTCCTCCCTGTATCTAACCCATTGCAAATCGAGTATTTAACTGAATCTTCTAAGCTTCACCTCACAAAACATTCTGGAAGTGTCTGCATCCATTCCTGATGTGCACACACACCACAGACACTCATGTTACACTCTGCTATGAATGACAACGAGGAGTAGAAGTTCTGTTATTTACCTCAAAGGACAGCTCATCTGCTGCTTGAGCAATATATCTCTTAATAACATGGGCAGCAGCAATAGCAGGAACATTAATGGACGATTCCTCGTGGACTAGCAGGTGATTCCCTTTGTTATCAATCTGAAATAAAGAGCACAGGAGCCTGTGAGGCAGCTGGGGACAAGCCAGGAGGCATTTTAGCGATGCTCAGCTACATGGCAGGGGCTTCAAGCTGACTCCCAGCAACAGCACAGCTTGAGGGCCCCCTGAGGAGAGCAGCACACACAGAGCAGGGCACAGCACACACAGCCAGCGAGAGGGAGAGCAAGCCAGGAAGAGTCTTTCAGGGCGAGGAGGATGGATATCAGCAGGGAAAATTGCAGGAAAATGCACTCAAAGTCCTTATTACAACCATTTAAACCTGAATTGCAACAGCCTAATAACAGGTGTTTCTATTTCTGGTGTGCAGCAAATACCATCAGGCAATGGAAAGACACACATAGCTCCACAAGACTCATCAGCAACAGCACTGATGACACAGACAAGGGGGGCTTCGTCTCTTAGCCCCAGTCTTTCCTGTACTGCTGGCCCAATGAGGTCTGTTGTTTGAGGTGGCAGAAGAGCATTAACACAGAAACAAAAGCTACAACTCCCAATATGCAAACAGCACCAGTTTAGCCAGCAGTAAATGGGAGCTGATTGGACTGCTTCTGTAGCCATCACCAAGGAAATTAAAAGAGGGCAGGCAAACCCCATAACGGAGACAGCCCCAATAGCTTTGCCACACTTGCACTATTGCCTTGCCAAAAAGGAGGGTAAGAATGTGTGTGCTTTCTGCAACCTGTTCCTCAGGGACTTCTCCAGACTGCCTAAGTCACTGCTTCCCTGGAATTACCACCTCCTTTTATTTGTGTTAGCAGAATGGTATGTCCTTGGGTGACAAAATCCAAGCAAGAGGGGAGGGAAAAGCTCCTATATTAACACTGGATCTGATTCTATTTGTTCTAGGCATTCTGTGGCCACTTATACGCTGGTAACCAGAGAGTAAAGCTTTTAGGATAGCATTTCAGTGACACCAGTAGGTCTTGGAAGGATTATATCTCTTTCTGGAAAGGCCAAAGAGCACATTCGTGGCTTGCTAAGGTCAGGAAGCAAAGAACAACCTAAGCTTCATCCCATACCTCCATCCATGTGAGAGCAGGCCCACAGTTTATCTTGTTGCCTGCGATGGCGGAGAGACGTGACAGGTAAGCCATCAGCATCTGGGTGACAAGCTGGGACAGAAAGAAAGAGAGACAGAGTTTTTCTGTTAATGCACCAGTTTGGAGAGACTTCTTCAGACCATAAATTGTCCATTGTCATAGCAGAGATATATTCCCTTTTGCAAGGAAATCTGTCATTGGAAGGACAGCACACTACAATGATTACACACCAGAAAAACAGGGTAAAACAGCAGCTCCCTATGAAAGTAACAGTTATTTCTATAAGAGACACCTGAAACCTAAAGCCCTTTTCTCATCATGCATTTCATACCACTCAAATCATATATTATGGACATCATACACAGCTTGGACCCATTTAGTGCAGCAAACCCCACTATGTCCACCCACTTGCAAGCCCTTAGAAACATGGCAACTCAGCCTGACCCATTGGTGAAAGAGGGAGTATTTCAAACAGTAGAAGAGGGGTTTTAATGCCCTTTCTGTTTCAGTAAGCTTGCTTTTATTAAAGAGAAGCTGGGGAGGACTTCCTAAAGCTTCCCAGTGTTGTAAAGCACTTTTACCAAGCAGCCCCGAGTTGGTAAGGGTGTTTAAAACATTGCTTTCTTCAAACATCTGTTCAAATGTGGTCAATTCAGAGTGAAAAATAGAGTGTAAGATGCCACCCAGCTGCAGGATTCCGTTTTGGAGCAGTAGAGCTGCTCAGTACCTTTACATCTTCTGTGCTTAGAGAGGAATTTTCAGGCTCATGCTATAAAGCGCATATGAAATCAGTTGTACAACTAAAGATGTAAGAGATAGGAATGCCTAAAATAGAACTTAAAGCAATAAACCCAGGAATTCATTCCCCTGAATAGTGCTGCTTCTGCTGAATTTGAAAGATTAGAAACTAAATTCTCCACAGGAACAGCCTGCATTAAGCCAAAGCAACTAATAATTCAGATGTTCTGATGAGCAACGGGACCACATTACCAACTTCCCATATGCAATGGCCCTGCAGACTCTAGTGGGTACTGATTTCAGCCACTGCCTGTTGCTCAAAAGCAATCAATCTTCACCAGCTCCGTGCTGAAAGAGCACACATTCTGATTTACAGGTCCTGGCTGGATCCTTTGAATGGCCTCAATTTCCCCATTTCCCTTTTCCCCATGCATCTTGTGGGCAGGCAACATCAGCCTTCCCGCACAGCACGTCAGGATTGTCCCATACTTGTGCTTGATGGCAGGGGGCAAGCACACAAGCACAGGTCCCTGAGCTAAGTGACCTGTGAAAGGAAGCAAGGGGCACTGTCCATCACTGGGTAACAGCCTCCTCCTGCAGCCAGACAGGCAGAATGGTTTTGTCCTGCTCCACTGGCTCAAGTAACCTCCGTGGCCATGCATTACATTGCCTCCCTCTGCACATCTTCTGACATGATGCAGTCAAGATGCACCTGCTCCTCCCCAGAAGATTATTGTGGACATGAGTGAATCTCTGGGTTATCAGCAGGTTTATGAAGCCAAAGGAATTCCAGCTCACAATGAAAAACACTTCTTATTCATTTGAGGAAAAAACCTACTTTTTAAGCTTTTTAAAGAGCATTTAAATAATGCACTAATGCAAATGCTTCAGTAGTTTTCTGTCTATAGATGTGAGTCTAGCACTGCAAATGGCAGTCCTCTTGCAGTGCCACAGCCCTGGCACAGCATGATTTCCTGGGAATGCCAAGCTGCTAACATTAAGGCAGGAACTCATCCCCATCATTGAAGATGTTTCCAAACTACGTTCTTAGCTGGACAGTTTCTTTCCTGACACTCAATAACCATTCCATGTTTAGCAGCACATTAATCCTTATGAACTTGCAGGGCATTTCCCTTTAGCCCATTGAAATGCAGGGTGGAAAACACCTATTTCTTACACCTTCTTACTCGTAATCGATGTCCAAACCTAACCCCGGCCACATTAAAACTACTTTGCACATGAGAAAGCAGTTTTGAGCTCTCTCTTCCAAGCCCTTGCTGGTGAGGGTGCTTTAGGGAACTCACCTCTGGGTTGTCCTTCAGGGCATCAGAGCGGGGGAGCTCGGAGAGCTGGGAGAAGCGCCGGTCATAAATACACAGGTGAAGGTGCTTGTCCAGGACTCGGAAATCTTCATAACTGCGCTTCACGATCCAGCTCCTCCCCTGCAGCAAGACAAGAGAGCATCCCCCTGTGAGAGGCTCCTCACCCACTGGGGTAGATGGAGAAAATGGAAGAGGGTGGACAATCACAGGATCAGCCAGGGTGGAAAAGCCCTTTAAGCTCATCGAATCCAACCATTCCCATCAGTGCCAAGGCCACCACTAACCCATGGCACTGAGGGTGTGTGAACACTTGCAGTGACTGCAGCCCTGCCCTGGGCAGCCTGTTCCAATGCCAGCTCCAACCAATCTCTGATGGATAACACATGACTCCTGAGTGCATATCACTGCTCCACTTAAAATCCTGACAAGACACACACTGCTTCAGGGGACAAGGAAGAGCCCAGGGCAGCATAACTTGCTTTGTGAAGCTATTACTATCTAAATGACTGCTACTAAATGCTGCATTATGCCTATTATGATCAATAAAAGAATGTGATAACGCAGCAGTTTACAGGTCAAAGCACTTTATGAACAGCCATTCATCCTCTCAGCACCTTAAGTGAGGCTGTTTGTGTGGTACAGATGTGGATGCTGACACAGTGACCGTGGACCTCCACAAAGCTCCTGCACCTTCTCTTGCAAGTGCAAAGTGCTTGTTTCAGTCTTTCTTCCCCAAACTCAACGGTGTGGCTGTTATTTATTCTTCCCCATGAGGGTGCTAAGGCGCTGGCACAGCGATGGAGGGAAATGCATGGTATAAGAGGGGCCACATCACCAGGGAAAGGAGCTGTAAAGCCTGAACCAGATGTGCTCTATGTGGCTCTCCATCTCCACTGGCTGCCCTCTTCACCTGATACACGAAAAGCATTACCTTGCATTCACCATTCTGCTGGATTCATTTGCCAGGAGGCTTCTAAACATCATTTTTGTATCGACATCCAAAGCCTGCAAGGCAGTTGTAAATGCAAACCCTATACTTCAGCATACCAGCTATTTATTTAAGACAACTCCAGACAGTGTACTGTGCCCAGAAACACGGAATCACCCCTGCTTCACAGCCCTACAAAGAGGGTATCTACACAGGACATAAATGCTTTGTCATTTCCAGTATGTCATTTTACTTTCCACCTAAAGGAGAAAACCAAAAGCAGGAGCACAAGTCTATCTGCAGAAAGGTGACAGCCTTTCCAGCCTCTCCACCTTTTGCAGCTCAGTGGTTCTTGCTCTCTAGGTATGCCACCTAAAGCAAGGTTTAGTCCCCAATAGAAGAAACAACAGAGAAATCGCTGCAGTCCTTCATTTCCTTCTGCCTGCTGCACTTCAGAGGATATTTCAACACAATCTCACGCGTTACCCACATAAAACACAAGCAGATCTGTCAAACCACCATAAATCTGTCATTAAGTCAATGACAGATTCCAATCCCCCCGTGGCAGGTCCTTTCCAACTCAAACCATTCTGATTCTGTATTTCCAAGTGTTGGACTGTAGATTTGCAGTCTCTTTTTACCTACAATCAAGACATTAGAGTTCTATTTACAAGGTGGGAATAGCGAACAACCGGTCCATGGCGCGGAACGAGCAGGATGCGCTGCAAGGAACAGACCATATACAGCGTTCTCCTTTCCTCTGATGAAAGCCATGCTACACCATCATGGTGACAAGGCCACTAGTAGCTAGCAAGGCAGCTGCTCGGTGAGCAGGGACAGCTTACCTCCCAACAGCAGCGGTGCTTCTTGCCCCAGCATCTCTCTGGGAGCTTCTTCACAACAACTCGTGGAGCAAGCACTGAGCCAGCACAGCCTGAGCGTGGTGCAGAGGTAGCCCTGACCCGTTCCTGCACCTTCCAGTTGCTGCTAAGCAACCAGCTGAGCTATTCCTGAGCTATCCCTGCGGAAGCAGCAGCAGCAACCTCCAGAAGAGGGGTGATGCACAACCGGGGTGACCAGCACCCCTGTTGCATTCAGTCAGCCCAATGCCTGTAATCCCAGCCCTCGAGTTCAGGCTCTTATGTATATGGTATGTTAGTAGAGATCACAGTTGCAGGGAGGAATAATATGTATTACTCTTCATCATGATACCCTTCATCAGGGACTGTGGCTATAGGACAAGGAGTGATGGGTTTAAACTGAAGCAGGGGAAGTTCAGGTTAGATATAAGGAAGACTGTGTTTCCAGCTGCATGTGCCTGCAGCTGAGCAGACAGGAGTCCTTTGTGCCTATCAATGCCCCTTCAAGCCAGGCAGGGTCCTACTGAATCCCTGCATGCAGAACTTGCCTGTCCCACGGTCTCTGTTTTCTCTGTAGCACCTTGGGTTTATTTATTTAAAGGCAGGGGTAGACCTTTCTTTTCTGGTTCAAATGCTTATTTCCTGAGGGAAATCACGTGGATGCTCTCATGAACCTCACCAGATCAAGCCCAGAAAATGGGACTGAAGTATACGGCAAAAGTCACTTCAGTTTGACCCAAGAGTAAGAAAACACCATGTATTAAATAGCTGGAAACTGCCAGCATCCCCCCATGAGGGTTTAACCCTGCCATGAGGGTGACTTTTACAGCTGTCTGGGTCCTGGGTTCTGTATGTTATTCCAGCATGACCCTTCAGCCTTGTTCTATTTCAAGTCACACTGGCAAATGGCTTAGAAACTTAGTCAAAACAGAAAGCAAGCCTGATAAAATCCATCGCTTTGGGTTTCCCCAGGAAGTGTTCTTAGCTGGGGCCATAGGCGGCTTTATCTAAGCTTCAGTTTACCAAAAGGTCCTGCATGATCTCATGACCTCTGGTGTATTATTATAGCTTTAGGGAAACCATAAATCAGTAAAACTTCGAGGGAGCTTGCACGGATGCAACTTCATTTCTGAATGAGAGCACATGCTCAGCGCCACGATGCTTCTGGGCTTCCAGGTCTCACCTTGAGGCCATAGAGGGATGCTCACTTGTGTTGCTCCTCATGGATATGGAATACACATTATGGCTTTTCCTTAAGCTGCAAGACATTTCCAAGATATTGGAACTGATGAACACGTTTTCCTTGGCAAACATCAGTGCTTGCTCCCATTTCAGCTGATAGAGCTGGGCAGACCCAAGCCAAAGGCAAGGGCAGCTACACCAAGGTGATGTCTGCTCACTTGACTGGCTTAGAAGAGAGCATCCACAGCTTGTAGTGTGATACCCATTCCACTGTCAGGCCTTTATTTATGACAAGAAGGAAATGAAGTATGGGCAGGAGGGAGGTGAAACAGGGTGAAAATAATGGGAATGCTGTAAGTTCAGCACTACTGAAATCACACCAGAGACCAGCTATCACAAAATGAAGGGAACACACAGATAGACTGCAAGGCAGAAGGCAGAGGAGCAAGTTCAGTGTATTCATGTGCTGAATCCTTAATAGCCTTATTCCACAGAAGAAATTCATGTCTCTCAGCATTAATGATCAGTTTATTATCAACTAATTGCAATCAGCAAAGAAAAGAGACTTTAATGGAAACCACTGAAGCTTTTCTCCCCTAAAAATGAATGCTTCCTTGCTCACCCTGATTCCAATTACAGATTGGAGCATTAAAAACACACGGGGACTGTGTTTAAACCTGCCAGAGGGGAGACTGAGATGAGCTCTTAGGCAGAAGCTCTTCCCTGTGAGGATGCTGAGGCCCTGGCATAGGGGGCCCAAAGAAGCTGTTGCTGCTCCATCCCTGGTTCAGAGAAATAAGAAGACCCACCACATGTATTTGAAATGTGAGCATCCATTCCTGCTCCCACAGGAAAGCCTGTTTCTGAATGGCAGGCTGACAGGCACCTAATGAACTCGGAACAGGCTGTACAACTCTCACCACGTGCATGAAATCCCCTGCTCTCCCGGCACGCTCTAATTGAAACAATTCAGCATCACTCATCTCTTTAGTAAAATGATCCTGTTCGGAGCAGCAGGTCGCAGAGGGACACAGAGGTGAAGCCACAACACGGGGATTGCTTTGTCACACTGCAGAACATACAAGGAATAACCCAACATGAGCTTACAGCCACAAAAGGAACAGTTCAAAGGCACTAACACGACTGCTGAGTAACAGGGAGTAAGATTCTCCCATCCTCCAGGTAGCAAGGCAAGGAGTGCATAGAGATATACATTTACAAATGATGACACAGGCACTGCTCATATCGAACCACAACACCCCCTTCACCCCACGCTCTAAATGTGCTATAATCTTAACCACAGAGAAGCAGCAGCAGTTTCCTTACAGTAAGGCCACAGCACCGTCCTATAAACCAGAGCAACAACAAAAAACCCCTTTGAAAATGACCGGCCTGAGGTTAGGGAAGGAAAATAAAACAGCTTTCCCAATGACTCGCTTGAGGCTGGCTTAGGCAGACAGTGATCTCCATCTAAGTCTCCGTTCTTGGCCATGGAGAGACATTCAACGCCATGGACGTGGTTCTAGGCAACCTGATGTAGCTGAAGATGTCCCTGCTCATTGCAGGGGGGTTGGACTGGAGGAGCTTTGAAGGCCCCTTCCAACCCAACCCATTCTATGGTTCTACCATCATAGGAACATGCACCACAAGACTCCTCTTAGCTTGGACGTGAGCTCTTGGAGAAGGTGTAAACCAAGTAAGACTGTAGACAAGCTGCTCCTCTGCAATGGGTTTGCACTTGCCTGGTTACAGGGCAGGATTCAATGTCTCTTCAGATGAAAAGCCAGCTCTACTCTTCAATCTGTGGCCGGGCCCAGCCTTGTCTACAAAGCACCACATGACAAGGGGAAGCCCTGCCAAAACCATCACTTACTGACAGAAACCATAATCATCAGCCTGGCTCTTGGACTGCAACAGTGATTTGCACATTGGCTTCAGAGCTAAGCAGAACACAACTTGGACACAAGAGGATTGGTGTCTCTAATTCAGAGCTTGCTTTCTGAAAGCAAAATGCCCAAAGGACGAGACAAGAACAAACTACCATGTAATTGTAAAAGCTTCTGTTGCTTAAAAAAACCCGCTTCGTGGCAGCACTTTTATGGGATATTGCATTTTATTTGGAGAGATCATTTCCCCTCTTGCTCACCATC